GGGACAACACAGGTTTCTTTTTCATTAAATGAAAACCGTTTCCTTGTTGCCTGCATTGCCCAGGTTCAACCTGTCTGGCTGGTCTGCACAGTACCTCATTTTGGGGCATCTTTTCCTTGTCCTTCAACATTATGAAGACAAACACATATCTCAGTGCCCTTTATAGCTAAAAAAATCCAAACTATGCATCCCCTTCTCCCGTTTTCCCTGCTTTCCCTTCCTCTGTGTCAGCATAAGAAAAAACAACCTTTTAATTAGCATGGAAACAGCTACTTACTAAAGCTGCTCTCCTGGGATTGAATTCCTTTCCAGCACCTGGGGCTGGAGCTCAAGAGCAGGAAACTCATGGAGTTGAGAGTTGGTGGAGAGCAGTGTTTACTCCATGCCCTGGTCCCATCCCACAGTAACTGTGTGCTCCTCTTGTTCCAGCAAACGAGAAAACTGCAAGCTGAGGGACTCCAGCGGGCAGCACCTCATGGTGGAGTTCTGCAATTACCCTGCCAGCATGTCCCGCTACATCGACTACCGCTGCTGCTCTGTGGAAGAGGAGGGTCACAGTGCTGCAGGGGGGAATAAGTTGCCTGTCTGTGAGAAATTTTCAGTAAGTAACACAAATCCCCACTCCCTTCCTGGCTCACTGGAGAGGGGCACATGTGGTCTAAGCCAGAAGTTGTAGGAAAGCACCTGGGAAGTTCCCCTCACCTGCTTCATAGTACAAGGAACATTTTCAAGCTTCAGGTGGCTTCATGACAGATAGGGCACTAGTGTGGTCTGCTTGGAGGTGGGGCATCTTACAGGTTTCATTAGGAAGATTCCAACAGAGTCTATGGCCCTAAGCAGTGGGACAGTATGAGTTACAGTGTCCCTGCTGTCTTGGGGGGCTGAAAGTTCTGTGTTAGTTTGGCTCATCCTACAAGAAAGAAAGCGCCACCTCTATCTTTCCCATTATCTTCGTTAGATATAAAAAATTATTACTTGTCTGCAGCTTTTCACACTGTGGCACAGGGTGATCCACAAAAGTGCACCAATCGTCCTGGTGCAGCTACAGCAGCAAAGAGCCCATCTGGTCAGAGCATGACTGGCTTCAGGTGCATCATAAAGAAAAGGAGGTCTCCAGATGTTGCACATTCTGTCATAGAATAGAGGTTGGGGAATCTCCAAGTTTCTCATCCAGCCACCACCTCAGTGTTGCTTAGAGCCTTGTTTGGTAAATTTTGAAATTATGTTCAGGACAGACATTAAAAAATAATGCCAGGTCCTGTGTTCCAGTGCTTGACCACTACATTAAAAATGTTTTCCTACAGCTCTAGTCATAATTTCCCCTTACGGTTACCAGGACCCCTCTCCCTGTACTCTCACAAGAGTTTAGCTCCATATTGTCCATACCTCTGCTGTAGCTACCTGCAGACACCAACTAAATATCCCCCTCTCCTTAGCCTTGTCTTTTTCAGATAGAACAAACCCACCTTCCTTGGCCTCTCATATGCTGGGTGCTGCACCCAGTACAGTGTGTCAACACCTTTCCTGTCTGCTGGGGGGCTGTAAATCAACAGTGGTCCTGCTGCAGCCTCACAAGCCCCCAGTGGAAGGGAATAATTACCTCCACTCCACATTATGGTGCTTGCTGCTCTAACCAGGAAGATGGAGGCTACAGACCTCTCTCTCTCTCTCTCTCTCTCTCTCCCCCTAGGCCTATGGGTGGTGTCCAAAAGGGATGAAGTGTCCACAGTCTCATAACATTGACCTCATCATTGATGAGGATGACAAGCTTTGGGAGAAGCGGAAGAAACGGAAGCACAGATGGAAACATCGGAAGAACATTAAAGTGCTTGTAACAGCATTCCAACTGGAAAGCTCAGGGGAAAACATGGAACAAGCTCAGAACGGGGAGGAAGGACCACCACGGAAGCAGAGCTGCTATGAGCCTGCAGCTGCTACAGAGCTGTCAGAGATGGCACCCAACGGGGAGGGCAGGCCACTAGAGGAGATCTCCATGGACATGGAAACAGAGGTCAGCTCAGACACCAGCACACAAGGGGAAGAGAATCTGGGGAGCACTGAAAGAACTGACCAGGGAGCAGCTGCCCAGAGCCCTTCTGCCAAGGGAAATGCCTCTCACAGTGACGACCAAGTGGAGAGGGAGTCAAAGGTTCCCGCTGGGTTGGGCTCAGCCAGTCACCCAGCCACCCCTGAGACTGAAGCAGCAGGTGCTGCAGGAAAGGAAACCCATGTCCCTCCTTCACAGGGGGGCACACACCGAGCTGGCTTCGATGCGTTCATGACTGGCTATATCATGGCTTATGTCTGGATGCTCAAGCAAGGGAAAAACACAGACACTGGTGCGGGGCCCTGGTTGCCAGACTGCCATAACAAACTGTACCTCAGTGGGAAATCAGTACCACTGCAGATAGTGAAGAGCTTGTTTTCTAAATCTTCCAAAGCTCACAGTGAGAAGATAAAGTTGGCCTGGGACAGTGCATAGAGCTACAGAACTCCTCACTAAACTCTGCTTTTTTTCCTCCAAGTTTTGGAGTTCTTTCTGCCATCAAGAACTCACCAAAAAGAGAACAGGTTTTATATTCTTGTTTCTGTTTTAACATCTGATTAAATTGCTCTCAGTTGGAGTTGCCCGTGTTCCTTAGTGACATGCTGGGATCTGAAGGCAGGGATGAGGCTGAAGGGGTAGAAATGCACCTTTGGTTAGAGCACGCACAGACAAGACCTTTGCCCTTACAGGAGAGAAGGGAAGGAGAAAATTCCTCCCAAATGGGCCAGCTGATTCTAGTGCCAGCTAACTGCATGCAGAACCAAGCCATAGCAGGTCTTCAGACTTGGTCTAAGGGGAGAGGCAGTGGGGCTGAAAGCCAGATACATGATCCTGAGAAACTGCACAGCTTCCTGTGCTGCTGAAGCTATTTAGGGCTAGAACAGAGCAGCCACCATGACAAGTGTCATGGCTGCTATCAAAAGCCATCTTATCTGTTAGGTCACAAGATATGGCCTACTCTTCAGAGCATTGTAACACAAAGCAGAAAAAAAAATCCTTGAATTTCATGGACTTGATAGTGGAACTCTTCAGTGAGATGCAGGAGAGAAATAACACTTACTGAGGATGACAGTTTTCCTTGGGTGTAACTCAGCACTGAGTAATAGCAAATACAATCTCAAGCCAGGTATTAATCGCATTTGTATTTTAAGTAAGCATTTGAACCACCCTTTTTGACTTAAAGCAATTGTCCTCTTAATCACAAGACTCAGGCCTTGATTTCATTTTTATTTTGAAAGCAAGTTGGGAAAGTTTACAAAACTTGACCAAGAAAAAAATTATGAAAATATTTAAGTGGATTCATCTTTGGTTACTTCTTATTGCAGTTCCAATAAAACATACACCATTTCTATAGTTCAAAAAAGTCAGAAGGTCAATCAACATAAAAACAAGACGTGCTTTCTTTACATATTCATAAATATCCGCAATATTAGAAAAGTTGCTTTGCAAAGATTTTTTTTCTGGCAGTGTTAACTTACTATTATACACAGGCTACAAACTTCTTCCTAAGCCTTTAATTACAAGTTCAGCTATTTACAGACTGCAAAATATTAAGACGTAAAACTCCTTCATAAATACGAAAATAGATCATCTCGCAAAGATCTTTATACTTAATCAAATATCTGGCTGCCCCTCCTCCCAAAAAAAAAGGTTATTTGTTTTGCATAGAAATGTAGTGACATGCAATATAAACAATAGCATTAAGTGCAAACAGGAATTATTCAAGTGTCTTTAGTTGTACTGGCAAAAAATACCAATGTTCTGTTACACATAATACATCAACGCCTCTCCAACAAGTACAAGTCTGCTACAGCCCCTTGGCTGTGCTGCTTTAGAGGGGCAGCAATTCACATGCATTCTCTTGGCTGCATTTTATCAACCTGCAACCACAACAAAAATAGCTTATAACAGACATTAAATGAACTCAACATAGATTTAAAGTGAATTAAAAATATCTTTGATCTCTTCAGGGAGATGTGTAGCAATGTGTAGAAGGTACTTTAAAAGAGCAAGAACTGCTCCTATAAAGTCAAAATCAAGGTAAAATCCAATCACGATAAAACTTTGTCACATCACTATAAAACAAGGAGTTTGTTGACCACATGTTCAAATTCATGTTTATCAGTAGCTGTTAGAAAACAGCCCTCTGTAGAAAAGCAACCTCAGTAGGCACAAAACCTAGAAGTTACTAGGTGCAGTCTAGATCCAGATTTATGCAGCCAAAGGGATGAGATGTAGTGACTTCCAACTGCATCCTTGGAAACACTGGGTTTCAGCAACCACTTTGCAGCTTTTAAAATGACCTTTTACACTAGTTTCATATGCATGCCTCTTCCCATGCAGACCAATCCAGGAAAGGCCTGAGCTGCTAGTCCTTGGTATTTCTGTTTCTGACATCTCCACCTCAGTACAAAGAGCCAGGAAAGCTGATAGCTGTGCCCAATGCATGTCAATTGGTTGTGCTTAGAGCGGACATTAAGAAAATAAAATTTTAGCTGTGCTGCTTTGTAAGCTGAGCTGTTCAGGGCAGGGAAACCTTGTAAAGACAACTGGTGTAAGAGAGCAGTGAGGTCACTGCAGTGAGTGCCCCGGGGGTACCCCAGACCTGACTGCTCAAGCTTTGCAGTCAGTGTCGGGGAGGGCAACAGGCTCCATGATGAGGTGTCAGCACTGACAGCCAGGGCTTGCTCACGGGAGCCCCAGGGCAGCCAGAGGTGTGCGTGTGCTGGACAGCTTCCCTCAGCCTGGTGATCCAAAAGTAAACTTACTCATTATTGCTTATTTGTCTGAAGTCACACCTAAATGCATCTTGTGACAACAGAAGCTGGTGCTGATGGTTTCTCTCCCAGAAGATACAACTGTAGCACAGACGAAAAAAAAAAAACCAAACAAAAACAACAACTAAAAAAAACCCCAAAAATAACCCCAAACAAAATAGCAAGCAGGCACCAGGCAGGCAACTGAGTTCTGGTGTTTCTCTGTCCTCAAAGGAAGTTACACACACAGGGGCAGCCATACAAGCTGCTCTGCACTCTGCAGACACGATACAGAAGATAGAGACTACTCTACAGATCAGCACCTTCAACAGGCAGGGAGAGAGGTGTGGGCTGAAAAGGGTGATCTTAGTGAGCACAGACAAGTTCTCCTTCAAACTGCCAACAGCTGCCTAATCTGGCATGGACTGTATTAAATAATTCGTCAACACTGGGTTTCTCATTTCATTCCTGGCAGCCTCTGCAAAGGGAGAACTGCTGCTCAGGTTAACACTTCACTAGAGGAAGTAACTCATAGAATAGCTACCTACACCTCAGGAAAGATATACATCCCAGCCAAGAAAGAATGAAGGCTTTCTCCATCCTTTCTTTGAGATAGGAGAAGAGTACAAATAGTTTGGCTTTCATCAGAGACTAGCTTACAGTATCCAGCCTTACAAGAGAGCAGGAAGAATGTTAACAAGCTACCTGGATGAAATTCTGGACTCCACTGCATCACCATCTGCTCAGCAGGTGTGCAATATTTGTCACTTAGGAATGATAATACAGGTTAGAAAAACCCCATAAAATAAAATTTTTAAAATCCCATGTTTTTTGGGATGATGATACTGGAAAAGGGCAGGATGTTGCACAAATGTCACAGAACAAGCTTTCCCATATATTGCATCCCAGAGCCAGGATCGCTGATGCTGGTTCCAGCAAGCAGCATTAAAGCTCATGTTGCTGCTTCTTTCACAGGTACCTGCTGGTGGAGGGAAGTTAAAAAAATAAATAAAAAAAGCATCCTATTCAGTGACAGGAGAAACCAATAAAGACAGCAGCTTCTTTCTGTAGGAGAAACAAAAAGTCAATTTGGGACTAGGTAATTTTCTTGTTTGACAATTTAAAGCCCTCCTGTGAGTTGTCCTCTCCAAGAGCACTTGTGGGGCTACAACACTGCTGACAACTTCCCCTGAGTAGGCTATCACTGTCCTCTGTCAAGCAGGCTAGTGAGGAGCCATCCTTACTGCAGCAAAATCAGTGAGATGGGATGTTGTACCAGAGAGGGGGGTGATGTGACCCTTCTAGCTTAGTGATAATAGTCAACTGGGATGTAGCTGCTGTATTGAACTACTCTGCAGAAACAGATCATGATGTCCACTCAGCTCTTCAGAGATAAGAGCTCACCCTCTGCCAAAAGCTCAGTACAGCTGGTACTTTCAGGAGCAGTTTCTTCAGAAGCTCAGAAATAGCAATGCCTGGAATATGCTTCTCTGTGCCCTGGGCAAATCTTCCTCCACATTTGCGCTGAGGTACATAAAGAGCTGTACAAGGAAGCAAGCTTCCCTGCACAAATGTATTAAACATCATTACTAAATCCCAAGGGAAAATGAAACACCAGGGAACAGATTCCTCTTGTTAATTGCAAAGTACTCGTCATGTGACTCAGCCTGCAGATTGTGACCAGCATGAGGGGTTTTGTTTTTTGCTGCTTTAGAAAGAAGAGCTTGTTTAATGCTACAACAGCATTCAAAGCAGCTCTGGAACTAGAGAGCATTCCTATCTGCTCAACATAGCTTGGAAAGACTTCTGTGCCTGTTTCTGAAACAGAGGCTCTGCCTCACGTGCACTGATGCAGAATGTTAATGAAAATCTGCAGTGGCTTAGAGCAGCTCTTCAGTTAGAGGAAGAGGGAAAAATCTAAGCGTCATTCTTTCTATTCTACTTGGAGCTTAAGACCTTAAAATGCCCCATGCTGGAAATCCAGGTCAAACGGTTTACGTGGTGCCTACTCTGGCTGCTGCCTCTTGGAAGGACTGTGGGACCCACATGGCCATTCTGGCTGGAGTAGTTCCCCCTCCTAATGCAAATCAGGAAAGGGAATAAGCACAATTTGAAATAAAGTTTTATAAAATAATCAGTTTCTTCAGACACTCTGCAGTTATGTGTCCAACAGCCAGCTTCCACCATCCATTGAGTCTTTCAAATGTGAAGCCCAGCACTGCAGAAAAACAGAGTTTAAGCAACTGGGAACAACTGTTCCCTCAAGGACACATTTAGTTTGAGCCCTCTCTTCATATGTCACAAGTTGACTTTGTGCTGCCACTTGCTGAGATGTTGGAGGAGGTCTGAGACAACAGGGCAGGACTGTCCCCATCCTGCTCCCTGAAGGGCCATGCCTCTCTCTTCAGCTCAGTGGGAGGACTAACACTGAACTTTGTGGACTCTAACAGAGTAATCTTCACTAGATCATCTTCTACTTCCATCTCTTCAGAAGGGAGACAACCTGCAAACACTTGTGGGGAGCCATGTCCCTCAGAGTTCACTGAATTCTCAACGGGGAGCTTTTTATAGGATAGTGGCCCAGACTGGGCCAGCACTAATGGTTGATCATGTGCTGGATCTCCACATGTGTTCTCAACAGGGCAAAACCCATTTTCCTCCTGGGCCACTAGCCCATCTGAACAGTCCATATCCTCTTCTTGTCCTGATGCAAGAAGAAACTCTGGTCTGTGAGGCTTGGCGTGAAAGGGGGGAATCTCTGACACACCATATTTAGTGCTACTCAAGAGTTTTTGCCGAACCTCTGCACCTAACTGGGCTGGGTCACACCTGCCAACAGTTGAAGACAGTCCCCCAAACAGGCCATATTCCTTGTGTGGTAATTCAGGAGAGAGTGGAAGTGATCTGCATCTTCTCCCAGGAAGAAGGGAAAGGTCTTGCCAGTCTGTACTATATGCCTGCCGGAACTGGGACTGGCTGGCTTTCAGGCCTCCACCTGCCTCTGGAGAATGCAAGTCAAACACAAGGGAAATCACAGACTTGCTTGGCATGTCAAAGAATTTTATCTTTCCCCCCTTGAGGTCCTCCCGGGCACTGAAGGGATTAACTTTCCGGCCCAACCCTTTGCTTGGTGTGTAGTAGGGGTCCTGCACGTTTATCTTCCTGGAAGGTTTACGGGAGAAGATATCCGACTGGCTGCGTGACAACCAGATATTCCGACGTGGACGGGGTGACTTGGGTGGGATCTTATCATCCAAGGAACTCAAACGTTTTACTCCTGGTCCTTTGTCAATTGATCCTGAATAGAAAAAGAGAAATACTCTTAGCTTAAAGAAGCTCTGTATAGCTGCGCACCTGCTCACTCACAGAGCCTTCATGACAACTGTAAAGAAAAAAGCTGCGTTCCTGATATTTCAAGTTATGTTCCATAAGCACATGTCTGCTCCTTCCTTTTAAGTTCCTGCACAAACACAAGTACACTATTCTCTTCAGTGTATTTTAGAGCCCCTGCAAACTTCCTTGCTACCAGTATACTGCCATATACATGCCAGTAGAGATGGCATGGGGTGGTGCTGGAGAACAATTTGCATGTTTCTAGATTTATCATCCTGGCTTCCAGCAGAGGTTGCCCAAGGTTTGTTGGTGCTACTGACCACAAAAGAGAACTAGTACAAAACATAGTTGCCAAAGAAATTGGGGCTTTTTCACCCTGATGGGAAATGTCTAAGACAAAAATATAGTCTCTCCTTGTACCATGCCTTCTTTCAGTACATTATCCAATACAAAACTGGCAATATATGAGAGTCTGACCCTAACAAATAGGAGTTTAAAAGTTGTACACATGCCTGTGTATTTGCATCCATTGTGCACACACATTTATAAATAAAAGCTGTATCACTAGGTTCAGATGAGAATCTGGTAAGATGTTAACTCCCCAAGTGTTTGGAACATGCATCTGTCACAGGCTCTCAAGGTGCCTCTGAAGGGCCATGTTAGAGCAATAAAAAATGGGTATAAAGAAGTGGTATCTCCTTTTGATAGCCATTTCCTAAGTACATATGGATTTTCACTTTTCCCTTTAAATACTGCCACAGTTTGGACTACAGCCATTCCATATAGGAAAGACTATGCAAGTTAAAGAACAGCATGTAACACTTCTTAGAGAAGTACTTGTTTTGTACATGTACTCCAAAGGGAGAATGCCAGGAAAAAAAAACCCCAAACACCAAAAGAAAAAAAAAACCCAAATAACAAACCCTAAACAAACAAACAAACTTCCTCTAAAACTCACACCTCTTTTAGATGCTTTCCAGGTGTGGGAGAACTACCCACATGCATTAACTCTATGTGTTTTGATGTCAAGAAAAATTATTTCAATCTACAACTATTTTACAGATTGACAGGTATGTCCATATGTTGCATATTTGTGTATCCACATAATACAAGAAACTATTTTTAATGTACTCTTTAAGTTTCTAATGCCAGAAGTGTACTAACATAAAACACCCAAGTCAGAATATGGCCCAGGCTACAAGAGTTTGCTCCCCACACCAGGTGGCACCAGACAGCTTTAGAGGAAACCTTTCAAGGCCAACATTCCCAAGCAGACCTGGGACTCAGCTTTTCTCGTCTTTCAGAGTATTTCTAGGTACTCTATAATACTCTTGCATCTTCTGTGCTCTTCCTCCTGAAGGAATTTAAGAAGCCTCTAAATGTTACATGTAACATACACCAAAGAAATTATGTATATGTACGAAATATGGCAGCCATAAATAAAAAGTTGATGGCTTTTCATATACTATTAGCAACTTACAAACCCATTCCCAAATGTACTCTAAATTTCCTCTCAAGATATTGGGGACAGAATATATAATATCAGGCACTTTAAGAAACAGTTAGCTGGGGTTTTTTTACATTCTGCAATGCAAAGTATAGAGCATTGCTCCAGAATAATTTTCAAATTTTGTGTAAAAACATTCATAAACCATAAATAAAACCAGATACAGCCAAAACACCAGTTCTCAAAATATGAAGCTTTTTCTCCTCTTGCTGTGAGCATGCAGCAATGTTTGTACAATACAGACACTTACCTTTTGGTTTTCTTTCATTGTTGTCAAGGTTCAAGAACTTTCTGTCTCTCTCTGAGTCCTCATTTCTGAGGCGATTTAACATTTCCTCCAGTGTTTTGACAATATCAGCAAATGAAGGACGCAACTTTGGATCCATCTGTAAATGCACATAAATCAAATAAGTCCATGTGTGTTTTTCCATTTTTATTCTGCTTACACAGTGGATAAAGAGAGGGACAATTTGAGGAAACTGAGGAAATTCAAAATGGTTTTAAGTATGTTGTCATCACAAAAAAAAATACAGAAAGAAGGGGGGAAACAGTATTCTATTACACCTTTCACATTTAATCATCAATTTGTAAGTATTCTATGAAGAGGAAAAAATTTAAATTGAAAAGGTAGGAAACTGTCAGGTTCATGGCTTGTGAGAGGGGTTGGTTGGTTTGCTTGAAACAGCTTGCATAGTTCAGGATTTCTTTTGGGACTCTAGTTATCAAACACAGATTATGTACCAATGTTATTTCAAAAGGATTACACAAAACAACATGGCTATGTCAGTTTTTAAAAGATTGTAATTCTTCCATCATCTCCTTGTGGCTTTAATTAAAATGCAAGTAAATGGCACTGCTGATCTTAAAGCTGAAAATGTTGTCTTTTTCCATCTGTTAATTAGCCATACTACTCAGTGTAATGGTCTACCTTGTAAGGAAGCAAGGGTGATTATATAATTTGATAAAGTTATAAATTAAGAAAAAGAAAAATCCTTTTTTCCCAGGTAAAATATTCCCTCTGCTCATCAGTATGTATTAGTCTGTATTTCCCAGCATGTATTTATTTATTCACTCCAGCACATAGATCTCTAAACAAAGTCCAACACTAAAATTGTACCACAATTCCTTTAAGCAGTAATATCAAAAGCTTTTCATCGTTTTGAGCATTGACTCTGTATATTTGTCACAGGCTTCACTACTGTAGGCAGCAACATCTAATTCAGCAGCTGAAAGTTAACTTCATTCCAGTAATAAAAACAATCCTGCTTGACCTGATTGCTGTTTCCAGCCTTGTAAAGGCTTTTGCAGAGTGGACAAGCCCAGACAGATCTCACCTCTACAATGGGAACAGTAGTGCTTTGTATACAACAAACCCCAAAGACCTCCCTGATACTGCCCTGCAGGTTGTTTGAGAAGGATCTTTCTGAAGAAAACTGGTATGATCAGCAATGCACAAACACCTTCTAGCGACAAGGGAGAAAGTGCTAAAAATTCATGTCTATAGTAATAAAAACCAAACAAAGAAACCACACTTGAAGATCTCAAGAACAGCAAGAAAAATGTTCTTAAGCAGCAGCTGAAATTTCCTGGCATTGGAAAACATTTTTCTGCATCCCCTATTTCTGGAAGAGTAGGGCAGGGGCAACACTGAAGCACGCACTGCACTCTGACAAACTTACTAATTTGGGAATCTTAGGGAGATGTTGCAAGCTGCAGGAAGTTAGAGGAAGTAAAAAGAGCTCTCCATCTATTTTAATTTGTGCTAGGTAAGATCCAAGACAAGAGCAACAATGGAAAAGTTACTCAGAATGGTATTTGCCTCTTCCATCCCTGAGCAGCCCAGATTCTGATCAAATGGAAAAGAAGATTCCTTCTCAAAGCAGCAGTTGCCAACAGCTTAGCTCATCCTGGTAAGCTTTTTGCGTGGTCATTTATGATTGCACTTCTTAAATATTCCCACAAGTAGACTTATAATTGTTGGGTGCTTGCAGGTGCTTATTTACAAACCTGCACAGTTTAAAATAGTAAATTAAATTTTAATCCACTAATCATACATGTCAGTTTTTACTGGTTTTCTTAGGGTGCCTTAAAACACATTTCCTGGCTGTAGAAAATCCCCGTGTTTTGCACATTAGTTCAGCTGGGCTATACAGTTCACACCTTTTTGACCTATTAAATAATAAAAAGCTACATAAATGTCCATGTCGCAGAGAAAATTACACCAATCACCTCTTACTGAAGCATAGCATGCTGAAGATATAACAAAGCCTTATCTGTTTACTCCATTTTCCTTCTCCTAGGTGAGTGGTATGTGAATTCCAGCATGCCCCACACTGAAATCAGCATATTAATGGCTGGATCACAAGACAGTAATTTCCACTGCAATTCAGCAAAGGGATATTTATTATACAGGAAGCTGCATTTGACAATAATGAGTAGGAGAAAACCCTTTTTCTCTGAGCACACCAAATTCTTACATGAGAATATAAGGTCACTGCCCCTTCTTTCTGTCCCTTTACTCTGAATTTCTGAGCTGAAAAATTGCTCTGAATCATGCACCATGTGTTTGGACACAGTACCATTTCTGGAGTCTGCAGGTGGGAGCTGAGCTTTCCAAAGTCAAATCCTACCTCTAACCAAACCCTCTAGTGCTCACGTAATCAAAGCATTTCATAAACATGAGTGAGATGTACCACTGTTCAGATGAAGCAAGCTCTGCTGTACTAAGGTGAAATAAGAGAAAATAAGAATTAAGTAGCTTGTCCATAGTAAGTTCCACAAACACTTTTAGAATTAAATTATGCTATGTGGTGCCAAGAGCAGCAGTCATTGCCCCCATTCTCACCTTTCTACCACTCTTTCCTTGAGCATGGCCTTTTGTACTAATACCAAGTAAAGAGAGAGGTCAGGTCAAAAATAACCACCAAAAGCACAAAGAGATGAGACTTCTTAAAAGCACTCACTTGGACACAATGCTGGCATCACTTCCAGCACAGCCTGGCTGTGAATCCAAGTTCTGTGCAGTAAAATTTTTAAAGTTGCTTCTACTTAAGTTGAGCAAACTGGACATTCCCAACTTCAGCTGAATGTGGTGGAAGCTCAGGTTCTCTTATTTTATATAAACTGGTTTACTATACATTGGTACTAGTAACTCTGTTACAGGATAACCAGTAGAAGAGATCTACTGCCCTCGAGTTTTTACAATAAGAAGCCAGGAAGGTATCTTCACTATCATAATTTTACTTTAATAATTGCCAGAAAATTTTCTCCATACAGCACATGGCCTATAGCCTTACAGATATTAAATCATTTCAGTCCAAGTTTGGATTTTTTGACACTAAAGCTAAGGATTTGGATGTCAAACCCCTTTTCCAAAAAGCACCATACAGACACTTTAGAATACTGTAATGCCTGCTCTTGATTTGTTTGCCCGCTCTGCTCGTAAGAGCAATTCAGTCCTTCCTTCATACCTCAGTAGGTCTGCACACAACAACAGCTGCATTTTGTCAACCCAAGGGTTAGCCAGTGTCAATGGCATCCAACTGGTTATGATCAGCCTGAGCAGTCTGCAAGAAGCTGTTTAGTGTGCCAGACCTGTTTGTTTGGTATGAGAGAACACAGAATTGCAAAAACACAAGACAGACCTTTTATCAAGGAGAAGGGAAGAATTATAAAAACTGAAAGGGACCTCATGGGTTGTCAGAAGGTACATTGTTCTATAGGTAGGCTCTTCAAGTCTCTTCTGTAAATGCTTTAAGCTTTATCTTCAAAAGCCAGAGGGATTTAGAGAACTCCAGTTTAGGCTTCTCCCCTTTAAGTAAGATACTCACGTTACAGCAGTTGAAGGCTAGCTGGAGAAAGTCAGGAGGACAGTCTCCCACCATGTGCTGGAAGGAATCATAATCTAATCCAAAATTCTGTACAAATGACAACAAAGCATAGAGAAATAAATGAAGTCTTCTATCTAGCTAAAAGCATCTTCTTTTTAGGAGGTCCCTATGTGAAGTTATCAGGAATAACCATGAACACTTTTCTTAGCAATCACATAACAAAAGTTTGAGAAAACTTCATGCACCCTCCAAACTGCAGCATTCCCAGTGGGGATTACTGGTACAGGATAGCTGTAAGAGAATGGGCTGACATCAAAGCCCATCCTTCTTCCTGGATTCAAATGCAATCCACTGCACTTGAAACATTGCCCGTGGGGATTTGGAAACAATACCATATACTATGATGTTTCACTGTAGTGACTTTCATAGTTCAAATTAACAGCCTACTCAAAAACCAGAGGCTTTGCGATGATGGAAATGTATCAGTTAATACAGCTAACTTGTCAGTGGATGGTAGACTGGTAATACAAATTATCTGGTTCCTTAAGTGCATGTCTATAAAATTTGAAGGGCAGACTAGAAAAGAATCTTTTATTTATTGCAGTTCAAGACCTAAGCAATTTTCCATTTTCAGAAATGAAGGGGGATTGACAATTTGGAATAACCCTCACAGAGGGTCAAAAGCTGCCCTGTAGATGGAACAAATAAAGAAAGAAGTATCTTTAATCAATTATAGCTCAGATCCACAGTACTTAGAAGAGTCCACACAAAAATAAAGGTGAACCCATTTTAGCTGCTGTTAACACAGCTCCTGCCCCTTTCACAAAGGGGTGGTGCTTAGTGCACTTAGAGTGCCAAAAGTGCCTTGTTGTTAGCCTGGCAAGAAATCTTTATGAGCTATCACTCCACAAAAGGAAGAGTTTGCATTGCAATGCTCTCTATGTCCTGCCAGTTAGGGACAGAAAGGATTCCCATGAGGATTGCAGCTGCACAGTCTCTGAGAAAGTGTCCTCAATGGAGCTTCCTACAATAACAGCATAAAGAGCAAAAGCTTTTTACAGGCTATTTTTAATGTCACACCTATTCATCTTATCTTTGACAGCAGTGGCAAGCAGCTCTAAAGGCTGAGCCCTTATCATGGCAGACTCACCACCTCCCATCAATGTTATAAACACAACCACTTACCTCTGTTCGAGGGAGATAGTCTGGGTCTGCCTGTATTCTCGCTATAATCTCACACAGAATTATACCATAGGAGAACACATCTGCCTGAGAGAGAAAAAGAGTAATAGACACATGGATCAGCTATGAATACTCAGTGCTCTTATCTGCCACTGAGTTTCTCCTTACTCCAAATGGCTATCATGAAACAACTGAACAACAATACATCAATGAACAACTGCATTAGAGCTAACATTTTGCATGTGAAGAAACCCATGCTCACATAAAGCATTCTTATTGCACAAATAGCAGTGAAAAATTTAAAATTCTTTCAAGAAAAAAAAAAGAAAAACCCATCAAACCACTCTTAATTCAGCAATGCAAAAATTTAAAAAATAAAGAAATCCTTCCTTGCACAAAGAATAGTGAAGTTCCATTTGATGTCCTACACATGTGAATAATTACAAACATAGCCAAAACATGACATGCCCATATATCACTGTGGTTAGAAAAGCAGGTTTAGAATACACATGATTCACAGCCTAGCCCGAATATTAATGCTATATATAAATAAATTACATTTTCCTCTTCTTAGTTCAGTACCTCTGGAGAAAACTGTCTTTCTAAAACTTGAGATATCTAGCAGCACTGTGTATCAGGTTTAATTTCCATGACGTTTAGTAACCACTTATCTGACTATCTCGGGAGCTGCACAGTTCCTCAAATTTCCACCCACCTGAATTTTTCAGGTAATAAAATTTAGGAAAACATGGAATACAAGTCTACAGGGCAGAACATGAATCCCTCATCCCTTACATATCAGGCTTATTTATATGCCACCTTTCATGCTGCTAAGGTACGACATCTGCTTCCTCTTTACTCCTCCCTATGGTAGGGTCAATGAAGAATGTGGCACCAAAGATTTCGGTACTTTACTATTAATTTAGGTCACTGTTAATTATTATTATAATTTATTAATTAAACATTCTTTAAAAAAGCTTTGAAATGGTAATCATTACATTCATTACTGAGGCAGTTATTGCTTTCCTGCAAGTTAGAAGTACCACCAATTAAACAGATTATTAACTAATAGATATAGAGAGGTATAGGATGTGGGCTTTATTACAGAAAAGCTGCACTGGCAGAGCTGAAGTAATGGAGACAAAATCCCGTGTAAAGAGACTGATCGAAAACACCACTTCTAAAACCCAGTGTGATCTGATCCTCCTCTAGAAGAAACATTTCCCAATGATACAATCAGGAAAACTTAAGAAATATCTTTGGAGAACATTTTGGAGAACATTTTGTCTTATCAAGGTATCTTACCTTAAGAAAGGCTGGTTTATTTTTTATACTTATACACACTCAGAATTGTGCAAGTTTACATACTGACCTTTTACTCCTACCCAGATTTCACTAGTGTACAGTCAGGGAAGCAACTTCACTACATTTCTCAGACTTGGTTAAATTAAATTGTTTCAAGTCCACAGAACATTACTATATTTCAGTATGTGGGGTGTTTCAGAATAGAAAGAGCATAACAGAGAACAATGCTAACGCCAAGTCTATTTCCATACAAGATTAAACACCACGAATTAAAAATATTAGCTATTTAATTCTCACTCTCCATTAGTATGAACGATCTACTGAGTACAGAAATATCACAAGTGAAAATAACAGTAGATTTAATATGATGGAAATTCTAACTCTTGCATACCACTACAGAAGAAAAACATTTGACAACTAACTGCATTTATATCATGTGCCTACCTTTTCATTGTAAGGCTCATCTCTGAGAACTTCTGGTGCCATCCAGAAGGGTGAACCCACAACTGGTAACTTCTCACTATATAGATGTGGGATAGTTATGGATGGGAGGTGGTAGGAGAGAAGGAAGAACCATTAATTAAATGCCCAAGCATTGCATTACTACTAACTTTCCCAATCAATTATTCAATCAATTACTCATGTTTTATTTCCAGTTTTTAAGTGCCCAGACACTTTAAAATAATGTTGTATTTTAAAGTCACAGCTGTTCAATAGTTTTTATTACCTAACTCTTGGCAGATTTGACTCTTTCATCTATACATAAAAAGGTCTGTGGACATCAGTTTCAGGCTAGATGCCAAGTTCACCATTCATCCAGCAAGATATGCAGGTATCCATCCCTACATGTAAATGTTGCTCTGAATGAAGTCAAACTTACTTATTATTAAAATAATAAAGATCTGAAAACTGTATTTTAAAAAAAATTAAAGATCAAGATGGACTAGATGAATCCTTTAATATGGAAAAATTAAAAGTAATCAGAATAGACCCAATTTGAAAAACCTGCAGTATCCATAAAGCTGAATACTGGGGTCTTAAGAAAGGCTCCAGCCTGTCCCCCAGCTGATCTTGAGGGAATTGCCATTCAAAAAAGAAAAGGCCTCTGAAGGCCTCAAAGTAGCACGGCTTGTTACCAGCAAACTGGAAAGAACAAAGCTGCATTTGAAAACGGAAGTAAAACTAGATAAAAACAAAATAGTGGCTAATGTAGCAATTCTATTATGTTACTGGTTTTGGTCTCAAGCAACAGTAATTATAATCTCAGTTTTCAGGGCATCTCAAAGCTGGGTATTAAGGACACCTTAAGGAAGGCACCTGTAGTGTTTTACTGATATTGTGATGTGTTCATCTGCACACAGCTGAGGTTTTCAGCACCTCACAGGGTGCTCCACAGCAGCTACAAGATAGTGGATTTAAAAGCTTAACAAAGCAAATATCTTAATTTAAAAACTACTGATAAGTACAGCCAATGTCTATTTCACCAATATTAATGTAAGCCTTCAGATCTCTCAATATATGGTTTTAGGATATGTACAATTTAAAAACTCTGCATAGCTGAGATCAACTTTTCTTGTTTTCTTTGCAGTCAGAAGCGCTGGAAAGCTTTTATTTATTTGATGCAGAAGCACACACTGGAGAAAATTTGACAGCAAATTTCACAGTCAGAATACTCTGCAATACACAAGTCAATATATAGAGAGAACAATGAAATCCTTGTCCTTCATCTCTCTAATGGAGGGATGACAAAAGGACTATTTTCAATTGTGACAATGGCTTGTGACAATAGCTTGTGACAGTCCCCTGTGCATTCCTCAAATGAGTTAAGATTATAATTTCATCCTCGGGAAAAGAAAATGGTGAGCTACTGTTAGGCAGTAATTTTATAATTCATTTTATTTTACTCTGTTGTAATCCTGGATCTTAAAAACTAACCCAGTGGTTAAATAAGAATAATGTTTGAATGCCACTGAATATTGTTTATGAAAGTGCAAAGAAGCTAAAGTTGCTTGAAATCAATGAACGACATTTATTACAAAATCATCCCAATCCAGAATACTGGACAGTATTTTTGTGTTTGCTTTGTTTCAGGTTTTTTTAAACCCCAAATTCCCAAATACCAGCTTAAAAGCTCTACCAAAAAGCTTGAGCAAATCCTCTAGTGATTGGAGCATTTTTGAAGAATAAATGTCACCACTAAATATCAAAATGGACAGTAATAAAGGCTGGAATATTTTGGCTATCCAGCCTGCAGCTCCAGACTGAAGACTGAGGGTGTTTTTTGAAAATTCTGTACCAGAGTGTAACAACAGTCTCAGGGATCTGGCTCACTGGAGCTTCTGACCTGCGCTTGTACTAAAACTCTCACTCCATTTAGATTAGCTTACATACCTGTGATCAGGAATTTTCTCTGCTAAACCAAAGTCTCCAACTATTGCTGAATATCCATTCTCATCATGTTTGATTAAGCAGTTCTGGAAAAAACAAAACAAAAACCAAACAGAAGAGTTAATGTCTGGGCATGAAACCTCTATAACATTCCAGATTAAAAATAGATAAAACAAGACTACAAATATAGTTTGGAAGATATTCATCTATGAGAAGCTTTTGTCTGAGAGCAACAACCCTTTTCCTCCACCCTCTCCCTGCACAATCACATGTCTGTCAAACTTAAGATGCTGCAAACAGCCCTCCACTTAGCTAATAATCCACTTAAAAACTTGCTGAGAAGGCAGGCAGCCACAGGCAGCACATACCCTGCTAGGTTTTAACAAGAATTAAGGTGATTTAGCTCCCTTATGCTCAAATATGCAATACATGCTGTTCACTATGACACCTTACATTTTCTCTTTACAATTTGCCTGTACTTGACCAGAATACAAGATCAGAACAGACTCTAAATTCCGTTATTTATTTTGCTACATTAACTACTGAAAAGGAACTCCTCGGTTTGCAGTAAACTTCTATCAGAAAATATAAGACGTGACCAAATTATATGTGCTTTTAGAGTCTCAAAATTCTTTATTTTACAATACATCATAAGACATAATTTAAGAGAAAATCTAATAGGGAAATGCTGTCAGTCTTTTCCTTTCAGATGTGCCCTCCAGTGTCAGGATGGAGGCCAACTTAAGGACACACAGATAATTGTGCTCTAACAGCATCACATCACACACAGGATAATATCGATTTCTTTTTGTTATTTATTTACAACTCTGAGAAATACACTTTGACCATTCCAGTACCACATCTTTTCCCATTTCACCAAATGAATCTATAGCTGATTCCCTGCATTTTGTTCTGTCCTGCAATAGGTGGAACAAGACAGAGAATTCATTCCTTTCCCACATGCTTGTTCTGTATCCTTCTGCGGGCAGTACAATAGCAGTGACAGGCAGCAAACCCACTGACTCCTACTGAGCGGTACCCTGCATTAATTAGCTAAACAGCAGGAAACACTTTCTGGCTTTATTGTGCCTGGATATACAAAAGCCCCTCGCTGACCCCAGCGCATTAGTTTGTCTGTATAATGCAACTACCAAGAAAAGTGAGTCCCTTGTCTAAAAGATCAAGTTCAGGTCATCACTGTTTACATTATTCAGAGACGACTGCGGCTCAGGCCATGAAGTGAGTTTTCTTCCTGCCAGTTAAAAGGTTAAGCGAGCCACTCCTGTGATCATGTAAAGAAAATGCATGCCAACCTCTTGAAATACATCGGGCTCCTGAGATGCAATGTTTTATTTGTTTAGCATGACTCAAGTATAATAACTACAGTTAGTTTGGGGATTCATAAACATGTACCAAGTTAAATCAACTGTGCTTGCCCAAAGAGCAGCAAAGCTTCTCAGTTTCGGGCTTTGTTATCTTTTATCAAAGAGTGCATTCATTCAGCTTGCCTCTCTTTAAACATTTGGTCACTGTAAGTGGACTAAACTGAGAAGGATAAAACTACTGAAAAATCTTACTCAGATGATTCAGACAAGTAGAATTTCATTGCATACCACACAGAAACAAGTCCATGAGGACACCAAAGATTTTGCAGTGTTCAAGAAGGCTGATACTATTTTATGCAGAAAAAAATTCAGGTTACCTTTCTGCCATAGGTATCTCAGACACTATGATTCTTAATTCAACATTTTTTTTAAAAAAACACAATAATTCATAGACAGTAGTTTCAAAATGTAGATTTCCTTCTTGGATTATACTTTTGATTATATTTTATTAATTTTGAGAAGCAAGACTGCAGTACTTAATTTTACCTTCTGGGTTTTATGGATTATTGTTATTCTCCAGTAATGCCTGGTCTCCAAAATTTTTAGGAAATATTTACATCCCGACTAGAACTATTTTCAATGTAACTAAAAATCTGTCTACTGATCTGAAGATCCACCATAATTTACAATGCTGCCTTGATACAAAAAGGAAGCTTAAATGAAACATCATCCTGACAGCAAATATTCCTTCAGCTTCTTAGCAGTATCTAATCGCATCCTGTTAGACAGTGATACATCAACTGAAGCTGAACAATCCTACCCCCCACCATGCCCCAGGCAGTCTCAGCTTTCAGGTGCAGCACTAAACTATTATACAAGTAGGTTATTCCTAGATAAACCATACATTAAATCAATGCTGCCTGACAGCTCTGAGCCCCTTCCCCGATGAGTAGGATTTGCCCACAGCAGAGCCAGGCTCCCTTTCAGTGCAAGCATTTGGAGAGACCCCACAGCACAGACACCCCACTGCTGTGGGGTCCCCAGGTCCTGCAAGAAAGGCTACTCCATCAGGACAAGGCACCAGGGGGAAAGCCTTGAGCAACATTCCTGCTGTAGAGCACTGCTGAGGTGTTCTGCTGTGGTGGGCTGCACGAACTCTTCTCTCTCATTAGTGGGCACTTGTCTTTTGTTTGCACGTGAAGTGCTGAGTGTGAATTTAAATTCATTAGGATACATATTCAAATACAAGAGTGACTTTTTTATTCATACTTAAATCAGCCACAGGCAGGTGACATGTACCATACAATAAAATTGCAGTGTCACTACAAATGCTCACTGTAGTGAAACTAAACTGATTTAATTCATCTGGGGCAAATTTTTACGTAGCTAAGCACTGATTTCCTGGAACCCAGAAAGAATGAAAGCCCATTCCTAGCAAAATCAGTAGTAAACACTTTCTACATAGTCCAGCATGGTCTGATGTCACTTCTCCACCCTGTACTGCTCATTTGGGACAAGTTTGTACAGATGGTAAAGCTGCATTCTATGCTTAGATTCTCCAAGAAGACACAGTGAACCCTCAGCACCACCATACTCCTTCTCCACACTTGCCACTCTAGTAATGCCATTACACAATGCTGTGCCAAACCCACAGTACAGATAATGGGGTTACCAGATTTAAGATGCAATTCATAAATAGGTGACATAACACAGCCCACTGTGGTTCATGTCCACTCAATGAAAGATAGAAAGAATTCACACCCTACCAACAAGATAAATCAAGATCAAAAAGGGACAAAGCTTCGGAATTTACAATAAAAATAAAAATGTTTAAAAATATATATATAAATATATATATTTATAAATATATATAAAGGTTGAAAAGAGATTTTAAATTTAATCTAAACGTGGAATCTTAGTAGGAAAAGTACAATAGTACAAACTTCACTGCTTCTTCCAACAAAGTGATATTTCTCAGTTTCTGTAAAAAAATAGTATATCAGTGTGGTATGAAGAAGTTCCATTAATGGATTTTAGAGCAGAGATGCAAGAGTTCAAACCCCTCACTAGTACAAAGAGTGAGTCTCTCAACAACTGCCCATGAAATGAAATGGCAAGCAGATTCACTTCATGAACTTTGAGAAAGCACTTTTGACTTACTATCGCACTATTTGTATAATCTGCAAGGCAATAAAACTTGGTGACCTTTTTTTTTATTTCTTTCTGGACCTCTACAGACAGGGATGTTCTTTCTTTTGGCAGCTCCCACAGTGAAAGAGGGCAGTATTTGACTTCAGTTGAGTTTTCGAGGGTTTTTTTTTCTTCCCAAAATAGGGACCTCATCAGTCATTCCTGAGGAAGCCTCTTAATAGAGGCAAGGAGTTCTGTACATGAGTCCGAAAGAGTTAACAGAGCTGTTTATGCAGACAGATGTGAAATAACATAAAGCCCCCTTTGTGTGTTACAGGAGCTTAACATCTGCTTTGCACAGCATAATCTGAAAACGAATGCAATATTCTACTCTCCCTTTTACATAAACAAAAATTAAAATAGACTCAAGGGTTTCAGAGTTAAAAATAAGTTGCTTTCATGAAGAAACACCATAGTTTTTTTTATATTACATACAAGCTGAACTCAGAGATTTCACTGCAGTCCAGTAAACACAGAAATGCCACTGCAGTGTCACTTGCAACTTTCTGATGATTGTTACCAAATTAATATACTTAAGGGCCAATTGAGGTGTATCATCTGTTTAAAAAGTGCTATCCGGTAGGAGAAACTCCACTGAGAATTAAATGTGTAGAACAGGAAGTTCACAGTACCAGATACACTTTCAAAATTATTATGCTTAAGGGAAAGATTCCATTTGGTTCCTGAAGAATCAGTAGAAGTTTAGTACTGAGACCATCATTAGAAATAGCCATCTGTAACAGCTGATTTTTTCAGTGCAAGCCCTCTCCTGCAGTGCAAAATATCCAGATGAGCTTATTCCAGCACAAAGGGGACCTTGCCTTGCAACTGCAGCACCAACTTATCAAAGGAATGTTCACGGCCCAGAGTTTATGCTGTTTTAAAGAAGCAAACAGCATACAAGATAGGAAGTCAGGGCATGTCACTTTCAAGCCCAAAGGCAGTGAATTTATGTTACATCAGATAATCCACAGTAATTGCTTACATGCATGATTCTGTCCCATAGTAACTGAGACTGCTCCTCTCTCAATGAGAGAGGGCTGAGCCATTACACACTGTGAAGTGAAAGCAGATGTTGGCAGGAGTACACACACATACACATGTGTTTATATGCATGTGCCCAGAGATTACAATTTCTCCACAGATTTTATCATCAGTGGAGTTCACAATGTTCCCTAAAACTGCTCACAACCTACTATTGATTATAAAACCTTGTTTTCAATTATACATAATTCTGCAAAACAAAAAGGCATTTGTTTGAAGGTTTGCCTGTTTGCTTTTAATCAAGAGTTCTGGTAGTGGATTTTTAGGGAGGGGGTGTAAACTGTCAAAATATCAGTCTATGGCATCATACTGAATTTGGCATGTTCTCAACTAGAAACATGGTGAGACCTCTGTATAAGATGCTCCTGTTGCCACCTTTACAGAGAGTAGACTGGGAGAGAACAGTATATGCTGCTGAGGAATTTGAGAGCATGACAAAAGTGACAAGACAGAGAATATGCCCAAGCCAGAGACTGGCAGGGACCAAGACCAGAGTCCTGAGCCAGGGAAAAAGAAGCAAGTACTAT